CTTCGTATGGGTCTAGCCCGTTGAGGCTACCAGAACAGCCCTTCGAGACCCATCTACGGCTTTCACGCAGGCACGGATTTTAAAAGCCACCGCAATGAACACTCAGTTTCCCTATTCCTTGCGAATACGAGAATTCGCCCTCGCAACTCCTCCACCTTCGCAACAGAGATCCTTCGGAGTAATCACGTCTCTCCTTGTGCTTTACGACACCGTCAAAGGTGTCAATTTCGCGTTTAAAGGTGCACTGGTAGCTGTCGCAGTCTCACGTAGTATCTGTGACTTTCGGATTGCAAACGCCGACCAGGATAAAATCGTTTCGGCATTATCTAAGCCTAGCGCCTCCTGCGCAATGAGAATCTCGGAATTTCCAGCTTCTCAATACGCTCAACAAGCAGAGCAAGTTGTCCGTAGTTTCCTCACAGCACATCCAGAAGAAGGCATGATTCCTCTTAGAGCGTTCGAGCTAATAGGTTGAGTCATAATCCTCGGACAATGTGATAGTGATGACTTCTAGCGATAATAACCCGGGAAGGAGGTGGCGAAAATGAACGAGCGAGGCATTGTTAGATAGAGTGATAGAGTATGGAAAGCTCTTCCAAATGCATACTGGACTAGGCACCTAAGTGTTTCCTTTCCCGCCACTGCGCCTCATGATTTCAAGCCGTCGCAACTCCACATCTGCAACACCATCATTTTTATTTTTCATCTGACCATGAACCCGAGGCAATCGATAGAGGTATGAAGAACAATCACAACAAGTGTACAATTTACAAGTGGCACCAGTAGTCCGTATCGGGCGACTATTTCATCGAAAATGAAGACCGGAGCCAGGTGAGCCGATCCGTATCAAACTACTCGTGAACTGGCAGTCACCCTTGGGGAGTCAGTCCACAGTTCTTCGTGAATGAAGTCAATCGACAAGGTGCGAAAGCTCGATCCATGGATGCCACATGCTTTGAAGCAGTATGACGTAGACGGCCGCGACGACGTGGCACTTTCTCTCCTCACGCTTAAGGGCACCACACGTGGCTCGAGTACCTAGTTACCAGGGATGCGAAGTCGATCCTCTACTCTAACGTTTACCGGCGTGCTCAATGCATTGACAAAGGTGCGGATGCAGAAAACTCCCTCAAACCCAACGTACACGTCAAGGAGGTTATGCTCTGATTCTGGTGGAGCGTTCACGGTGTCGAATAATGGGAGATGCTAGACGAAGGATGCACAGTGACCGCACACGTCTACATTGCGCAACTGAGGAATTTGAAGGCGACTCCCGAAGCTACACGTCCACAGCAGCACAAAGTTCATTTCCAGCAGAACAACGCTCGCCCTCACATTGCAAGGACGACCAAAACTGAACTGACGAATTTCGGCAGGGCAAGTTTACCACACCAGCCATGTTCCTCAGACTTGGATCCCTTAAATTACCACCTTTTTCCCCATCTCCAAAGCCATCTGGATGGTCAGGACTTTCAAACCCGCGACGACATCGAAATGTCACTGGAGCAGTTCTCCAAGGGCCAGCCCCCAGCGTTCTAAAGCAAGGGCATCTTCGATCTGCCCAAGCATTGGCAGAAGGCCATCGATGCCAACGGGGCATATTTCAAATGATTTGCTATTGTTGTTTAAAAGTTGTAAGATAAACATTATCATTGCCAATTAGTCCGAGGACTTATCATCGTTCATGTGATTGCCAGCTGCAAGTGCCGAGCAAGCTGCATTGAACAGCTGAACCATATATTGCTGAGAAGACCTAAGACTGAGACGATAGTGACAAAAGAGCTCACATGTTGGACGCAGTCATCCCAGTCCTAGGAGCCTTTCCACTTCGATTTGACTTGACCTTAGCAGATATGTCTTCAGAATGTCGGTGGACCAATCAGTGGCAGGGCTACCTGTGGACAGTCTATGCCCGCTCGCTTTTTCGGACAATCATTAAATAAGCCAAACATTCTACGAAGACCGTCTCCCGTCACCGCATAGGCACATCACTACTCAGCACGAACAGCTTCTTGTCGTGCTAGAACCCGAGATAGCGTCACCACTGTGAAAGTCTGTGTTGAAACAGCTCCACCGCCAGCAGGAGCTGAACCGCTTTATGAGCTTACTGCAATTTCAGCTCTCCGGTCTTCAGAGTTTCACGGAAATTCGCAGGAGGCAGCCAAACCTGAACGCTATCTACGGTCAACAGCGCATTTAAGTGGGACCCGTAGGTCCTCAGTCCGGGAACGTCGCTGTTAGGCTAATCTTTTACACTACGGGAAGATCACGTCGCAGCAGTGGAAATGAGTGAACGCCATCTCCCAATTTTAGCCATTCAAACCCACATCGAAAACCGTTGTAAACGCCCTCATTGCTGCTCGTGCTTTCTCCAAATTCAAAGAGCGCGTCATCGCCACCACGTTAACGAACACGGCAGTTGCGCAATTCACCGATATCCTACTACGCTTCGACTATTACCGTCACATCGACATACTCCGTTATGTGTCTGACTGCTCCCTTATCGAAGGAGCTAAGCAGACACTCATCGACTTGTACACTATTTCACAGCGCTTTCCTGTAGAGTACGCAAAGACGTTCTCCGAAATCCCTACAGACCTGCCTCGAGTAAAAGAGAAGCCTTGAACTGTTCGAACGGTTCATGTTCGATCATAACCTTGCAGCAGAACTATCGGAAGCGGAGCGTGACGGATATCGTCTATATCACAGAACGCACCAACTCGGATTTGACTAAAGATGCCATAGGGATCACGTTTGAAGAACGCCCTCCTGCAGTCGTCCGCATTACGACAGCAGCTTCTCAACTCCATCTCCGCAGGTGGTATTTTTTGTTTCTGGTTTGACTCTTCACCACTCTCATCGGCGACGAAGCTTCGCAGATTCCAAAGCCCGTTCTAGTCGTTTTGGCTACCTACCTACCACAGATCCGGCACATATGATGATGACACAGGCCTGTAAGAACACCACGCCCGGTTCCCGCGTTCATCTGACCGGGCACCATTCAGCGCACAGAGCGTGATGAACGTTCTGTTGGAAAGAGGAGTCCCACTTGCTCCTCTGACCGTAATCTTGCGGGCTCTGTTGAATGATCCACCAGATCTGGTCTTCTACAAGCATTAACACGGATTGCTGAAGAAGATCGCCTCTTCTTGCCAGTAGTTCGATGTCCGAACCCACATCTACACCGGTCGACACCATTTCTATGTGTCGACCTTCCGGATGTATCCGGAAGGTCGATCAAGTACTCAGCTGTTCGCATAGCGACGCAGCCGGAGCAGAAGTTTGCCGTCAGATTGTCATCAGCTTTCTACGCAAGTACACCCGCAGCAATCCCCATCATAGTCTTCTACGAGGAACAGTTCTGAAGCCTCGCGCAGTTCGCTAGCGCATCAGCCGTTGACCTAGACGCGGTTGATTCCGTGCATCGTCATACTTCTTACGACTCGGACGGAATTCGAGCCCTTGCGCGGAGAGTTCCTCAACAATCCGCGCAGTCTCAACGTCGCTTTGTTTAGATGCTGCCATGGCCCGTTTGTTTTGGGTTATGAGAAATCTCTGGCAGGCTTACCCAAATGTTTTGATATCCTTCAATAGGCTAATGACCGAAGGGCCATTACAACTGCAAAGGCTCTTCCAGATCTTCTAGAACAGAAAGGTCACTTCCCGTTTTCCTAATAAAAAAGTGAGCATTTCTCTTTTTCTCACCTCCCCATTTCTAAATCAAGGGACGGACTTTTTCGGAATGATGGGAGGTGTAAGATTCTGAAGGTGAAAGAGAGAGCGTAGTATGAAGAGCATGAGAGGAAGCTCACTGTGAAGGAAGGAAGAGTCTGAGACGTGAGATTTTACCGGCTGAGTAGAGTCGGTAGTGAGGTGTAGATCAATAGCAGCCGTTTTTCCTTTCATTGTGCAACATTGCTTAACCCTCGCGCATGGGATTGTTATTTCTCTGTAACCGTGAAACAGCTCATCACGCGTATTTAGGTTCGCCGACAGCTTCTCGAGGAATTCAGTCGTCAGCGCATCCTACCACCGATCAAGTTCGCCGTCCATTGCCTTTGCACTCCCTGCCTGTCACCTCTGGGCTCTTCGTCTTCCAGTGTCTAGCGCCCATCCTGCATACTCTCTGATCCCCAACTCGATACATTCGGAGAGAACTCAATATTTTCTGCACATACTGATAAACGTTAAGTTGTACTCTTAAGTGTGTGACGCAGAAGCGTATGAGGTCAGCGGTGCGGGCATTTCCGCACCAGGTTACCCCTGGTTAGTCTCAGGCTTATCTTACGAAACCTGATATAGTCAATCCATCTTACTGAGTTAGAATATGCTGCTTTGCTTTGGAGCAGGAACTTATTGACCTAAGTTTGCATGAGGTTCCTTCCACCTTGGAGCAACCTTACTGACAGTGAAGCAGTAGTTGAGTCCAATAAAATTATTTCTTCCTCTTGTGGTAAAAAAATACACGTCCCATTTTCATATGCAATCTTCACATCACTCATGCAGGGGTGTGTACCGATTCGTGCGATTCTCGGTGCGCGCGGCAAAGTGTGCGGCGAAATTCATGACGATTCGAACGACTCTGGCGCCTATTATCGAGGTACAAACTTGGAGTAAAACAGATTAGTAGGTCAGCTGATCCTACTAATCTACTCTACTTCAAAATTGGGCCCAATAATAGGCGCTAAAGTCGTCAGAACAGCTATGAATTTCGCCGCGCAATCTGCCGCGGCACCCAAAATCGCACGAATCGTGCGTCCCCCCTCATGCAGTAGTCAACTCTGTCGTGGGACTACGGTGGCTCGAATGTTTGTGCGGTTGCACAACTACGCCTTCTAGCCTTATCTACCTTCCCTTAGTTTTACATCGTCAAGAGGACATCAGCTTTATCACAACTCAGAAAGTCTTCAGTTCGGGCATTCATAGTAGTTGCCTGCAATTCTCCCTTTCTCTGCCGTTTTCTGCCATTTGGTTCTCATTATACAGGCGGTGTTCCAGACATGGTTGTGACTCGATCTTCAACCGCAGCACGGGTTGACCGGGAGCGTCGCGCAAGGTAGGTCGTCATTTCGAATTTGATGGCTTTTGCGAGATTATTTCGGTCCTCTTTAGGTATACATATGCGCCGAGGAGTCAACCGCTACTTACCGACACAATCGGCTACAAATACCTCGATTCCTATCTTGAGGTCTTCCATCTTCTTGACACTCATTCTTATTTTAGTTATATTTATTTTTATTTGTCAGTTATGATAGTTTTTCATGCGATCTTTCATTATGTATTTAGTACGATTGTTTGATGACTAAAGAAGAGCTCAATCGTCTCGCCGAGCATAAGTATTCTGCTATAGACACCAGTTGGTTGGATGAGCTTTGTATGAAGTATTTTTGGGAATGGGTAGTGAATTTTTATCCGCTTTGGCTTGCTCCAAATCTGATAACACTGATAGGTAAGAGTTAATAGCCATTCTTTTCAGCTGCATTTGTGTAACCATATTAGCTTCATGAACACAAAATTACCAGGTCTGGTTGTTAACCTCGCCACCGTCCTTGTGTTATCTAGCTACTGCCCCACAGCACGAGAAACCGCACCTTCATGGGCCTATGCTTCAGCGGCCCTCGGTTTGTTTGTGTATCAAACCCTCGATGCCACCGGTTAGTTTCCCTCTTGCGGTGTTTTATAGCGTGGATCCAAATTTGAGTTCTTCAGCAAAAGTACACAACTTATGTTTTTTTCCGATTAGTGTTATTACAATAGGTTGTGCAAAGAATTGCTCAAACTCAGAAGTTCTTGCTCTTTTGGCAATACGAGTAGCTATAGTAGGAAGATGGGCGATTTACACGGTAAAATCAACGGGCGGGATAAAAATAAAAGGGCAAACCGGGAAGAACCGGTACAACTGTATTTTTGAGATTGAATGAGTCTATCCCTCATCCCACGAAGCGTCTGATTTCCTATTGAGTGCCCCACGATTTCGATCTGGCCTACGGATTACCCGAACACCGTCCCTTTAAATGTGTCCCAGAGAGTGATTCAGTTGTGTTGAGTCATCAAATCATGAATACGAGAGAGTTTCCAGAGAGGGGGGTGCGGTTGCTGCAACCTAAATATAAGAAGCAAACGTTGAAAATAAACTAAGGGTTATGCTGGATGGTTAAAGTGGACGTTATACAGTAGCGCTCAAAAGTATTCGGCGAAATGCTTCTTCAGTTGTACTTTTCAGTCGTAACTTCTTTCCTACTGAATCTAATCTTGTGGAATTTCAATATGTGTAGCATGGGTGTACTGTGAATATTTACCACTATAAACCTGCAATCTTATCGCGTTCCACTTATCCCAAAGGGCTTGAACTCAAAATCAACTGGAATTATGGGCACTGTTACATCTAACATTTCTTTTCTTTTTGCCATGTCCATAGTATACGGGCGCTAATGCCGAACACAGTAGAGAAGAATAAGGCACATAAGGTGCGAATAACTGCAGACGTCACTAACTTTGTTTAAACCTAGTCTGCTACCGCAAAAACGCCCTACCTCAGTTATGTGGGTATTGCTGCTTTGCCCTAAAGCAGGGTTGGATGGTGTAGAATGTGCTTCAGTTTCAAATATCAGAATTTCGCGCGATTTGCTCCAGTAAGAAAAAAATTGTGAACGAAAAGGCGTGAATGCGTTTGGCCGAATACTTTTGAGCGCTACTGTATGTTCGCATATTAAAGCACCCATTGCGGAAATGAGGGTATCCGAGCGGGACTGTAAGCAACGCTTCCATCAGTGGATGGATACATATATATTCGTTAAATAAGGACGCAGATTTAACGTACACTTGACATGACGCTTGAGCTAGAAAACAGTTAGCATAATTGTAGCTTTATGTATCGTGAGTCCAATCCAATCGCCACTGGAAGAGTGTTGCATGCGGCACCTAGCTAAAATCCATGGGGGACAATCCTTAACCCATTGCGTACCGCGTGCTGCACATGGTAGAGCACGCTCCTCCGCCTCTGCTCGCCCGCATTTTCGTCCAACATCTCTCTAGACTTTTGTTGAAGTTTGAACAGTCCATACTTTGCGATTCGCTCAAACAAACGCTCTGTGTGGCTACGTGCTGTAGGTCGTGAACCACGTCGCCCGCTCGATTTTGAAGGAAACGCCGGGCACTCCCGGCAGCTAACGCAAAACACTGCGGTACGCAATGGGTTAATAAAGCGCAGACAACTCCTCACAAATTACCTTTCATAGGCTTCCTTTTAGACTTCCTCCCGGCCCTCATTTGACACGTGGTTAAGATAGTTTTATCATATTTACTCAAGTCCAGACATTACCGATGGTACAGCGGCATTTGGTATCTACAGTCTGCTTGAGCGCGGTTCTTTCGAGTAATGACGACTTTTCTGTAGTGAGGACATCTAATTTGATAAGAGTGGAGGCCTTCTGGCCATTATTATCCCATCGTGTTATAATCTCTTAATCTAGCTCGCTGAGTAGACAGCTTCACGTTCAAAGTGCGTTCAATATTCAGATGGCAAGCAAGCGAGACGTACCGGAGCGGCATCTCCTTTGGGCGAACTGTTCGACCATGGCTGTGACGCAATATCGCAAGTAAGGCCTTTCTTACCGCCTGATATATTGGCCTTTGCAAAGTGTGCACTTATCTGCTCACTCAATTTAGGCTATCCGTCCAATTTCAGCATAATTATCAATGAACAAGTAAAACGATAGAATCTGCGATTACTACGGTTCTCCATACGTCCATCCGCCCGCTTTTTGTTCATAGGCATTACAAGTTGAAGAAGGTCGACTAGCAACCTACTAGGCACTTGCAAGGCTCGCGCGCAGAGCAAGGGCAGTGACGGACAGGACCTCACTATAATAAGGAAACACTTACAGACATGAAGCTCTTTCTAGCTGCAACATAATTAGTAGTAAGAGTTTTAGAGCGAACTTTTCATCAACGGCATCCCTTTTCGCATTATGTTCTGGTGTCGAAAACAAAGCTGTGAGGAAGTCATTATCGTTTACAAATAAAGAAAACGTGGTCGATATGAGTCGTAGCTGTTTTAGTGTTAGTATGAAGACATTCACTAGTTTGATAGTTGAAATTTCTGCTCGGAGAGCCGTTCCCTCTTTTTTTTCAGTGAAAATTGGCTAATAATCGTTTCGAGTCTGAACCTAATTCCATGCTTTCCACTTCTATTAGAACGAAGGTCCTAATCAAGGATGTGACCTGCAACATTAAGTCTAGAACTCTCTTCCGCAAGAGTTGGTGCCCACTCCGTTATCCGCTTCCAAGCAGTGACACTTCCCCATTGCTTATGGTGCTTACAGGAATACTTGGAAGCCCTAGTACTCATTTTTCGATAAGGTAATCTAGCGTGAAGAAAGGAAATAGTGTCTTCGAGAATGGAAAATTGCAAATTTCTCTGAAAGAGTGTCCTGTGAGAATAGATGCTAATAAAAGATTACAAAAAGGGAAAGGTTAGGTGAAGAGAGTAGTGTTGTTTAGTAGTCTTTGCCGTTTCTTCCTCCTTTTTCCAAACCTTTGAAGGTAAAGCTCTTGAAACTAATGGAATAATCAAAATTTAGGTATTCGTTACTCTCAATGTGGCGTACGCTATGCGATTGGGAGAAGTGAGATGTGGCACGTTCTTCATAGTAATAGTATCGGTATCACTATTTTATTGCGCACATTGGAGTACATATTGTACGGGCCAGTTGAGGTTAGAAACCGCTCTTTATGCTCTTCTTTGTTAGCAACTCGATTATTTTTCCAGATTCTCCCGATTTGATGTTACTGAAGCCCAAATGACAATCATAGCTGTACTTTTTACCACATCCGTCTTAGGACCGGACGTATGGAATGCCGGTTTGTGTATAAATAGCTATATCTGAAAGTTTCTTGCCGCAATTCTGTTGTCTTCATTGAAGACTGTCATTCTGTAAATAGCTAATCTTCAGTTGCTTTAAGGGGTTTTCGGTTATCAGTTACGTCATATGCTGCTTTTAACAACACTTGTCGTTTCTCTTTACCAAAGCATGTCTTATCTCAGCGTTATCCTTACAGGCGGAGTTGGAAGAAATGGATCTACAGGTTAGCTATCACCGGAGCAATCCCTTAGGGTTTCACCCACTCCATGAGGGTTCCTTTTCCTTTTTACTTGGCATTTTTTTCAGTTGCTGGAACATCAGTCCTTTTTCCTGTATGTCCACTTTTGGCCTCCATTGTTCCTTTTTGCATGATATATAGTAAATCACGGAGCGCTGTTTTTGATGAAAATATCACACTATTTGTACTGTGCTTCGGCGCAGTAGTTGCTAAGGTGAATTAATATGTCCATTTCCTCTGCCTCGTTAGAATTACTAAAAACGAATACTTAACCATTCGTGATATTCAGGCAACGAATCGTTTAATAGTGGGGCACATGAGTCGGAGTGAGCTCGTTCTCTGGGACTGGATTTATTTGGGACCAATAGCGCTTATGCTCAACCAGTGAGTTAAACGGATTTTCTATGCTACTGTTTACAAGAACGTAAATTTGAGTACCGATCCGAGCAAGTAGTATGAAAGTAGCAGTTGGGCTGCGTACGCTGACATATGTATCACATGTCCACGATTTCTTATATTAACACTGAAATGAACTGAAATTAACAGAATATTTAATGATTAAAGACGATACTCTTCGATTCAACGCCCTGAGACCGCTTTGTGAATATTCCGTTCGATGGATTTGCTACTAAGCTTGCGTCTGTAGATTTGACTTATCTGTCGCCAAAGGGAATTAGGTCTCCTGATGATGACAATGCAAAGCAATGTTGACCAGTAAAAGCGAGCCGGTGACATTGCGGAAGCGCTCTCATTTCACCTACACACTCTATTTGCAGTAGGTTTAACCGCACTCTGATTGGAAGAAATCGTAGTAAATTAGGTCCATTTTGTGGATAAACAAAGGCAAGTTGTGATTCTCATCAGCGACGTCATAAATTGAGCTGTCGATTAAGGGGTCGATATGAAGTGTACCAGTTTATTTCCTTTCTCATATCATTTTTCCTGCTGCGCCTACATGTTTTTTTACGAACTGGCCCACAAAATTACATGCAAACAAACACCCAGAGTTAGTAGTATATGCAGGATAATACCGTTACGGTAAGAATCGAAAGCGATGTTTAACTTATGTTCTTGTGCACTTCCTTCTAACGTTAAAGGCACAGTTCAGAATCTTTTTGCCTCGTGACAGGGAAGGCTCCCTAAATGTAGTGAGAATATAGAGTTTGTTCGAGATTAACATGACGGGCATGACATGGCGGGGGTTCGAGAATCTAGTTGTTGCAGTTGTGTGAAGAATTGTTAACAATAGCCCAAAAATGGTCAAAATTCCCTTTCACTGCCGCCATAGGCCGTGACTAGTTGTTTGTAGTTCCAACGTGGGTGGCACTTGTGAGTGGTGCCGCCTATACAACCCCACTCGCATTAGGTGTAGCATACGGACGGTACAATCTCAAATCCTTCCGATACGAGTACAGTCCTTGAGCCACTATAATGCCCGATCTAGGCCGTTTTTCGATCAGACAGATGGAAAGGCAACAGATTCATCCTAGTGGGACAACCCAGAAACCATTCTTGTCGTGAACTATGCATTTTAGGTAAGAATAGTACCACCATACAATACCATACTTCCTTTGGGGTAGAATTCTGAGAAATTTTATGATACTTACTCTTGTAATTAATGATTTCTCTTACATGACTGATCACATATTCTTGCGTTCAGGTACTACGATTTTTGGGTTTGCGAAAGAAAGCTACTATTATGGGTCACATGTTATACGCTCGCTTCGCTATTTGTATATTGTTGCATCATCACTCGACAGATATGCTATCATATGAAGATATATTGTTTCAAAGTGCCAATCAAACAAAGCTAGGAGTAGTTTTTTTTCATGATTAGCTTTGGTATGCTGTTCAGACCTAGGAATTTTGTTCGTACATATTTTGTAAAGGCAACGACATTTGTTCGTTTTGTTTCATCTTTCAACTCTATTTGTCCGCAGACAAATGATGAGTATTGCTGTTGTTCTTTCATCGAAGGTACTCACATGATAGATTTTTGTGTGGTCAGCAAGATTTTCCAATGATCACATTATTGGCTGGTCCTTTCGAAGTTCGTGACGCTTTGTTGTAAAAAAAAAATGCTGTAATAATTTTGCCCTTTATTGGAGACGGAGATTTGAAACTGTTCACGCAAAATGTAATAATTGTAATCGCTGCGTTGAAGTAAGCGCTGGAAACCATTTCTACCTGAACTTTTAGTAGCGTTATTGTTTACACAAAACCTTTTTACTTCAATATTCATGTCGCTTTAGTGTTGTTGTGATGTACAGTTAAATTCGTATACAGCATTCTTCTTGTCTTTAGCATTGTGTCAAGGGAGTGGTCGCAACACCCTTTACTTCAACTTTTCCTTCTTGAAGTTGTTAGGCTTTTTTATTCCACTGAGAAATAGACTCTTTCTTCACCACGATACAATCGCTTCAGAGCGACAGCCATGCTGAGCTCAGAGACTATTCCAAATCGCTGCATGTTTATATTGCCGAAGAAAGGTCGAGGTTGTCGCATGCTAACTCGAGAGGGACAGAAGTATTGTGGAGAGCATGCCATTTTTCAAGAGCATAATGAGGTTGTCCAAGCACTGAATTTATTTTGGGAGAAAATTGCTTTGTTGAATGAATTTAATACCTAAAATCTGAAAGTGCATAATAATTGGTCTACTTTGTTTGTCTTCTATAGACGATCTTCGGCATATCGTTTTTTGTTTGCAGGACCGAATCCCCTGTCCCAATGATCCTAAACATACAGTAAACCGACGTGTAATTCGGCAACACCTTATGAGGTTACAGAATTGATTCGAGTTAATTTTAGCTTTTTTTTNTTTTTTTTATTAATTTTTGCCATCACTCCTCTTCCTATCAAGTACTGCAAACCACCCCACGTTGTTATTTAAAGGCACGGTTCACAATAAAAATGGTCTCTGAGATTTCACTATGGTATGGATTTGCTCCCCCTTATACCATAGCTGCTGTTATAAAGTCGAAAAATGTCATGGATAGGGCCCAATAAGGGGCCAGAGGTTGTATCGTGTGAATGCGCACCCATCCTGGACGAATTCCAACGGTTTTGTAGAGGCTGCACTATCTCAATAGATTCCACGTAGGAAGATCGAACAACACGTCATAACCCATGGCGACAGTGAAAGACAATTTCGTACAATGTCGGCTTGAGTAGTCATCCCTTTGAGCAACGGGAGCAAGTTAAATCTCGTTTAGACACCCCATAAGTGCCATTGTCGTCACGGTGATTTCGTACACCACTTCTAGATCTCGTACAACCTCCACTTCCACTACTTCTAAAAGTCTTGAAGTAGGCGAATTTTCTCGCTTTCTTCGCTACCGATGTACTCCTCTACATCGACACTTCCACTTTTCTCAAAAATGTACCTTAATTATCGTGAACTGTGCCTTTGAGACCATGGTATGAATTCGGAAGGCCTTCCACGATTACTTATTGTCAGTTTCCACCCGGGAAAGTTATTTTTTCAAAGCTATACTTAGGAAGTCTTTAACTTTTCAATTTATTTCCTTCGCAGAAAGGGGACTTCGAGAACGTTCTAATCTCATATAAATCCTCCTAGTGCAAGATGATTGTTTGTGGCAGACTCAGTTTGATTCTTGGTCCAAAATTTCGGTACATTAACCACATTAAGCAGTTAGTGTCATATAATTGGGCACAGGATTATTTCAATCGCCTCCGTATATTGAACATTGGAAATGTGTGGGGCATGTATGATGTCATGGGTATAATTGGGCTGCTCCGTACGCCTTCCTTAACCGATGCTCCAATGTTTCCCTCTCTCTTCATCACTACTTTTCTCGTTCATATTACTCAGCAGAAAGCAGAAATTCTGTTGCCGTTTTCCGCGCTCCCCTTGCTCCCTTATCCAAGGATTGCAGTCCAACGCGAGTCACATCCGAGCAGTGGGTAGCGGTATAATTGAACGCGTGCCGCACCCGATGCCTGTTGCATGAAAACAATGAGTGATCAGGTTAGGAAATGCATGGGCCATTTTGAATGATTGCGGCGCGGTTTCAGTGAGTTGAACATTCACTGCATTTCGATGCCGCGAGATTATCATCAGCAATTGCGTGTGCGTGCGCACAAATGTTTTATCTCGGGCACAAATTTTGTTGCCGTTTTCCGCGCTCCCCTTGTTCTCTTATCCCCTTGCTGTGGAGCAGGAGATAAAGAAGATCTCATCGAGACCATAAGTGCTATATTCTTCTTTCTGCAACTCAAACTGTTTCAGTTTCCTAATTTTGTGAGCTTTGTAAAATTAGCAAGTTAATTAAAGCAATTGCGAGCAGTTTGTGTTGCGAAAGGCAGAAAATAGCTCCCATTGGCAATAGTTACTCAACCGAGTGGGAATATACCTTATTTTTAGGCCTGTTTGATCAGAGTTCTCACAAAGGATGTCAGCCTTGGCCGATCCAACTGCACCGCAACGATGGGTCGTTTTGCGTACCCCAAGATTTCTGTCGACAGCAGTAGTGGACAGTCGCTGGAAGGCGCCTCTTCCCCAACTCCTTTAGGTCTGCTTTAGGAATTCATAGGCAAGGGCTTCAGGAATTCATTAGCTAGGGCAGTATGGTTATTGCCAAACTTCAAGCTTAGGTGCTGCACGTATTTTTTATGGTACAGTCCATCATCCATCAAAACTACTCTTCTTCCTAACTTTTCAATCTTATACTTACCACATCTTATCCGCACTACTACGCATAGGGATGTAGCCCGTCGACGGTTATCAAGAAGGTGTTGGGTATTGTAAGTGGAAATTGAGAACCACATCGTGACATGGATGGTAATGAGTAATAAAGAAAGCAATACAATTCATGTCAAGCGCCATTTTATTTGATTCTCTGGTTTTTCAATGCCATATGATAAGAAAAAATGGTAAAGGTGCAACTCTCGCGTGATCGAAGAGCAATGGATTGTGAAAGACATGAATGCGATGATAGGAGAAACGAAATTCACAGCGAAACTTGATAGAAGAGCAAATGAGGTAGGTCCCATTGAAATTCTTTGTTGCTTCATAGTTAGGAGCTAGCTTTGCTCACATTTTCGTAGCTATGTCTGAGAGCGAGTGCTGTTGAGCTACTGGCACTTGAGTGCTGAACGATTTCTTTTGGAATTGATTAAGCAATTCGCTTTGGCAATAATCGACTTCACTATACAAGAGTGTTATTGAGAATGGTCATAGACTTCAGATGGTTGTAAATTAGAAATCTTGGGAAATGGCGTATCTATTTTTTGATAAGTGTGAGGGTTATATGGAATATCTTATCATCGGAAGCGCTCACTATGCGATTCACCTGTCTCACGGTGATCGCCCGCTTTTTAAGCGAGAGAGTCCTTTCGGCTATCGATAATGTACGTTCCTTCTTAGATGGAACTTTGTACCGTTTCAACTTGACATGCTCGAATTGTATTCCACGTACAATTTTCATGAACGCACATTGAACAGTGGCAGCACTCTTAACAGGTCACATTGCTGTTTGGAAATTGCCCTTTCTGTTCTATTTTCCTCTAATGAAGAAATGGAGGAATATCCAATTTGCAAGGGAGAGAATTTTTTGAGTCCATTCCACACCTAAAAATTAGTTGCAAAGTTTTCTTATTTTACATTTAGCACGAATCACAAGCGCGATTAACAAACCATGACGAATACGCCTTCGAGAGCATTAAGCAAGTTCCATTATTTCCTACAATAACTTGCCGTCTGGGAGTGGATACACATTGCGGTGCCTTTGAAGTCACCCATTGTGAATGTAATGAAACGTTATGAACTGGTATACGTTTGTCCAGAAATGAACGTGATGTTTTCGAGGTTTTTCTGATTTCGGGCTTACCGCACGTGCATTACTTTTTTGGCGAGTTTGAACATCATACTCAGCAAGTTTCACTGTTCTACCTTGTGCAGTGCGCTTTTGTGTGGAACCGGTTTATCGTATGTGAGATCAACAATATTCATTTTTCTTGTATGAAGGATTATCTTTCTTTTCGTCTTGGAGAACTCGGTGATGCAAGTCCAATGAATTAATTACCAATGGGCATGTGGGGCATAAGCTACGTATGACTAACAAGTCGTAATTTCCAATGCAACTTCGTATCTCCTTGTGAATTTTGGAAATGCGGCCACTGTCTTTTGTTGCTATGAAAGAATATTTTGGCACAGTAATTTCTTTTCAGCAAGAGATTGCCTGCGTTCTAGAAAAGCTCCAATCGTGCTACTGCCTCGCCCACGACAAGCTGTTAGCGGATCAAGCTCACTATGAAGAAATTGAAGAGCATCTTGAAAAGAATCCTGATCTCTCCGAGAGCAAACGGAAGCATCTTGTTCAGCTAAGCTCCATTATAGGTAGGTACATGTTGACAAAAGTTCGAATAATATGCAGATACAAGTATTTTGTTCAGGTCATCTGCTGCGTGTTGGTCTTCTGAGAAACGATTCTTCTACTTGTACTATAGAACTGGGCGCAGGTAAAGTAAGTAAATAAGCATACGAGAATTTACATGAGGCATACAGAAAAAAAAACGTAGTTACCATCTCGCTATATAACTAGCCATTGATGCGTGTAAAGATATGCGTATGTCTATTTGTAAATGTATTTATGCGGATGTGTGTACATATGTATGTATGGATATAATATGTATGCAAAGGACAGCATCGTTCAAAAGTTTGTAGGTGGCTTGACGTGTGCTCTATATACCTAATCAGATTCCTTGGAAATACTCGGTATAGACTTCCTTTTTCACGTTGCACATTGCATATATTTTCTGAAAGCTTTGATTTTAAAATCTTCATCGCCCATAGAGCGTCCTCCAGTTTGAATTTCGAGATGCTTGTGAAAGCTTCAAGTGGCTTTGGTTCTTGTAACAAAGACATTGTAACTACGGGTTATTTTGGGTATGTGGCACTAGGTTCGTCCGAGGGCGCTCGCCGCGAAGTTTGTAACGACTTGAACGACTTTAGCGCCTATCATTGGGGCCCAAATTTGAAGTAGAGTAGAACAGAAGGATCATCTGCCCCTACTAAACTACTCTACTTCGAGTTTGTGCCGCGGCAGAGTCGTACGAACCAGTCACAAACTTCGCCGCGCAATTTGTCGCCGCGCCCACAGATGCACGTAGTGCCTGTCCATTGGGTTTGTTCAATTCACCATGATTACATAGAAACGTGTTAAGGTTCAGTCTAGTTTATCGACTCAGAATTTCACCGGATTTTTATAATTCCGATATCGTTTGGGTAATTGTACTGTTTTTGTTCCAATGAGAGTTTTTTGTGTTGTCTTCCTTTCCTCTCTGGTCGTCACTACTCAATATCAATATTTTTAGGCGCAACTGACTTATTGGTTGACGAAAAGAGCTCCTCTATCAAAGTTTCTTCTGATTGACAGAAGCGGTGCAAGGAATAAATTTGATAATAAGGCTCTCCAGGTATAGTAATGCTGTTGTTTTTTGTGGGAAAGATATGTTAATAGAGAAGGAACGACCTTTAGGAGAATCCTTCGTTAAATATCAAGCGGTTGCGATGTTCTATAGAACACTTAAATCTCGCTGAAGTGGAAATGCTCAAGGTAAATTCGTGTATTTAGTTACTGAAGTACTAATCTGAACATGTCGTGCACTCCTCAAGCTATATTCATTGTTTTTGCACCAGTGCCGATAGTTTAGGACGTATCAAGTTGTGCCGTTTGTAAGCATTTCTGTGGCAGTGCAACTGACGCTGGTATTCGATGTCTTTCGAATGGCATTCGTAGTGGAGTTCTTCTTGATGGCTTCGTCCTAGTACCATGTTGTCACCACAAATCCCGATACAGCGAGGTAATTTACTCTTGAACATCCCCTATAAAATACTACTAATTATGAGAATTATTCAAAGTCCTCCCAAGGAATGGGCTACTGACATGCTTCTTAGAGAATGAAGTAAGCGAAGAACTTTAGGTTGTAACAAACTTAATAACGCGTTCTTTGAGGAAAATCAGTGGAGTCGTTGCTGTTTCACCGGTTTCCTGAAGGTTATGAACTGCCAGTGTGTATGGGCTTTTTAAATTATGGTTAATTTGGCGCGAGACCAGCTCTGTCGAATGTACCGGTGCATTGGATCAGAAATTGATGTAAAATATTTAGTGATTCCTCAATAGGGAACTTGAGAGAGTATAAAAGGGCATGAAGGCATTTACGTGTTTTTCGAGGTAGAGTTTAATACTACATTAAAAAGATTAAAACATGTAGGAAGGAAATAGAGGGATAAATAATACACATTTTTCCGAGGTAGACCAGATGGGATAATAAATTTGAGTCCGAGTGAAGTTTCTTCTCTTCTACCTGTACTCCATCCAGCACATGAAAAATATCGTCAAAGATGATCCGTTGTGGTGGAGCGGATATTTCTTAAAAGCAAGGAGCATTTTTTTTTCGTCAAAACATACCCTATCCTATACTAGTCCACTTATCTAGTTCAGGTAATTTCAGTATTCCGGTCGAGAGTTCCTTGCTCAGTGGAATATGGACAGCGAGAGTGACTTTGCTGCTCTACGCCATATTGCAACATGGGCTGTTTGTGGGTTTAGCAAGGTGCAGGGTAACCAAGAAACTCAAACCCAAGACCAATTTGCTGATCAGTGCGATGGGGACGTGGTTGCTGAAGACAGTGGATCTATCCATGCCGAGCCTCAATTGGATGTAGGGACGACCGTGGATCGACGTCAAGAAAGCGACGTACCGCTGACTCCTTGGTATGCATTTCTGTTATTATCGTGACACCTGCTGTAGATCAGACGGGAACTTCCCGAGCGACGTCAAATCTGGTATTTACCATTTCATTGTTGTCAAAGGGAATGCAGACTGTGCATATGTAGTCACTGACATTCAGTCATGACATTGAGTTTGTCTTAGCTATGCTCTCTTACAGGCAAAAAGGCTCGTCAAATCCTAGTAAAAATTTCTAGTATAGGTCGCCAATGTGGAAAGAGGAAATGGGACGACGAGCGAAAGTGGTGCTTGAGATGGGACGAGCTCGTCATCTCGCTAGCCTTGGGTTTACCACACAGGTCATAGAATATGTGCCGAGATCTGTATCACCAGAAAACTTGCTTATACTCGGATTTAAGCTCTGATCTTTCTAGTAGACCTCGATTTTGGTTGTACGTGGTGGGTAAATACTTCGGTAACTCAAATCATTTGTTGCACAGAACTAACCAAGCCACGGTAAAGTGTTAGAAAAGTTCAGTACCAGCCTCCAAATATTTTTGAAATGATTTTTTTACTTCACAGATTTTTTTGCTTGAATCATGCCCTAGTCTTCGGCATGCTCCAAGCAAAGTGATTGTCGATTCCAGCACACTTTAAGATGTGCCTGCTCAGTTATACTTCTAGTATAAGCGACACTTTTCCTCTTGGCACCTGCCGATCGTCATCGATTGCTATATCATTGAACCATAAATGTTGATAGAAATATCATATATTATTTCAACCCCGATACCATTTATGATACTTAAGTTGGTAGGTAAGTAATCTAAACATTGGCAATACAATGAGATGATTGTTCAGAGTGCAGTAGCCCACCGGATTCCAGGTTATTTTTCTTTCTAGTTCCTAGTTCTTGTTACTTTTTTTACTTGTTACTTGTTTCCTTGTTTTTAAATTAAAAAAAGATAGCAGATGTTGTTACCATAAATTTTACTACCCAGTGTATCAAAAACTGGTATGTAGCTCCTGTCAGTTACCTTTTGTTTTTTAGGGTTGTTCTCTTTTTGTTTATTATCATGTACGTTGTTCAGACTACTCATTTTTCCATTGTATATATCTGTATTCCCGGTAACTTAATTGTTCTGAAAGGGTTGCCATAAATCGTTGTTTTGCCGAAAGTCCTGATGTTTTTGACGTTTACATAACGTGAGAAATCTACTTTTCATTTGTTTTTCTCTCCTCTCTCTTTTAAATTACGGAGTCTAAGGACCTTTCTCTCACCTGTTGTAGACAAGATATTGCGAGATATTTTCGCCGTGTAAGTAGTGATATGTGAGAGTCAAGGGCACAATTCACCGAAGAATGGTTGTTGAGGTCTCTGTAGTATGGACCTGTATCCCAGAGAGATAGCACGCGGGACATTGTCAAATCGAAAAATCATCCCGATATAGCGTCATTAGGGGTCCGAACCCACCTTGGCCGACGTACACACCCCAAAGTGGCCGTGTGATGACGGCCTTGTTAGATTGTGCCATTCACAGAGAAGCGTCAGGTCGCTGACGAATAGTACGCTTATGTAGAAGGCCCAGACACTTGCATAGTCTAGTACAATCCCCTTGCTTACCACATTTTTGAAGCTTTGTTTTTTTTTTTAATCCGCCGATTCTCGTGTTTTCTTGCCACATTCTACCCCTCAAGACTTCCACTATTTCAATTGAGCCAGGAACCTCAGAACAGTGATAAATTGTGAAACAAGCACGACATTGTTATGATCGGTTCTGCTATAATTAACCCATTGCACCGCGCTTTTTATATTGTCCTTAAATTAACTTTTAATTTCTCTTATAACTTCAGTTGGAAGTGAATGATTCCTGGACCACGATGCCTCAAGATTCTCGAGAAGGCTGTGAGCTAAGCTAATGCTTGTAGACATGGAAAAATTATCAGAACACTTGATAAATAATATAAATACTACAGGAGCACGACACTGTGTTCCCCGCCGACGGGCCACGCGGCCGTCAATGGGTTAATAAGAGACGGGGAAAGTTTTAAGTTAATAAGTACACCACGCGGTTATTGATGGGTTTGATCTGTCCAATAATTGATGACAATTGTCATACGTGTACTATTCAATAGGACTATCCCACAATGTCGTTCCTTCGTCCACGGTTCCTTTTCAACGCAGCGAGATGGGCTTCAAACTTGGGCCGAAGTCGGGTATTTCTTGATGTGAATATTGGAGATACCCACGCCGGTAAGATCACGATTGAGGTGAGTTTTAGGGACAGTGTCACAAATCCTTGTCGATTTCCTCCTTTCAGAGCATTCCATTTAGTTATTCAATGATGTAGTGCCCAAGACTGCGGAAAACTTCCGAGCATTGTGCACGGGAGAAAAGGGCAAGGGCAAAAGTGGAGCACCTCTACACTTCAAAGGCTCAACCTTTCATCGCGTTATACCCGAATTTATGATCCAGGTGAGCCAATTAAGAATGAAGTACAGCATCTCATTTCTATTATAATAAAATATGTATCAACAATGGCAACATATGTCCATGATGCAGGGTGGAGACTTTACTCTTGGAGACGGACGAGGAGGTGAATCTATATATGGTCATAAATTTGAGGTTAGTGGAAGAACAGCTTCTTATGTTGCTCATTATCACAAGTTCATTTAGGATGAAAATTTCACAATGAAGCATAACGGACTCGGTTGTGTCTCTATGGCAAATGCTGGCCCTGACACAAATGGAAGCCAATTTTTTATATGCACTGCTGTCACTCCCTGGTACGGAATTCTGTATGAGTCACGGGAGCATTTGCAATAGTGCCGATCAGGGACTCCATGTCGACGTTATGAACAATCATTATCTGCTATTGTTTCTCTTCGGTAATTTGCGCGGCTCAATCTGGCTTTCTTATTCTTTAGCGAGTTTTTCAAAAATTCTACCAGGAACCGGTTCTTTTTTGTTGACCGTTTTTTGAAAAATTCCTGGCCATCACGAGGTAATCACGACAAAATCGTGGAGGCCTTCAAGAATCCGTCAGACACCCACGTTGTGGCAGGTGAAAGCTTATACCCTTTTATGGAGTTGTGCGGGCTCCCAATGGACCCCTATGGAGGCTTCTTGCAAGGTGTTTTCTGTTGCATAGCGAAACTACAGCCATAATCATAGCCGGAATTTCACCAAAATAGTTTTATAAACGAAAGTTTTGTAGGAGTTATATAAGTATGGCCCGGCTTTCTGATTCGTTGTTTTCATAAATCATTTATAATTGATAGTAGTTGTACCTCAGTGACTCTTTACTGCTTATCTGTTTTGTAGGCTGGATGGAAAGCATGTCGTTTTCGGTCAAGTCACTGGTGGACTTAATGTTGTGAAAAAGATCGAAGCAGTAGGATCACGATCTGGGAAGCCGAAAGAAAAAGTCACTATCGTGGATTGTGGAGAAGAAAAGGTTGCTGAAACAGAAGCAGCCTAAGAAAATGACTAGGAGTAGACTTTTCAAGTTTTCATATTTTTCACATTTTTGTTGTTGAATTTTTGTTCGTAGTTTTAACATTGTTACATTGTGCTTGAAATGAGAATGAATATAGTCTTATTTTGAAAACTGATAGTAATTCAAAGTAAGCGACAGAAAGCGTATTTGAATCGAAGTCGACTCCAAGAATCATACAGTATTTGAGAATTGCGTGGTAACACTGTGTCGCAAACGATGACTTAATGACTTGGAAATTTTTCAGCAGATTTCTTTAGGCGAGTTTGCCTTTGCAGTTTCTTGTTTTCGTCCTTTCTTGTAAAAAGGAGCCGTGATGTTCGGTTGCATTACATTTTGCCGGGTATCTTGAGTATAAATTACTAAAAAGTCAGAAACCATCAGCGCGTTGGCGACGTCTTCTGACTTCCAGGTGGTTCGCAGTCGGCATCATTCAGCAGAAGGCTGCCTCCAGACTTCGACGTCCGTCCGGTGCGTTGCGTGGGTGCGACAGCGGCCCTAGCCACTTGTTGGCACGTGATCTAGTGACCCAGTGCTGTGTACAATTGGGCTAGGGCCGCCGTCGCACGCACACAACGCGCCGGACGCACGAACGGACGTCGAAGTCTAAAAGCAGCCTATGCTGCACTATTACGATTGTGACAGAAAACATCTGCACAATAGCCGCCACTCGATGGCTTCTTCAAGTCCCAACCATTGCCCTTCTGAGAGGATGGAATCGACAAGCTGCCTGAGCGTTGGCCTAGTGGATCGTGGTAATGCACGCTTCTAATCTTCAGGCTGGTTGCTATTGAGATAGCTACAAAGAAATTGGAGGGAAGAAGTATGCGCATCGAATTAAAATTTCAGCAGGGTGTTATGACAATAGATGACACAGGGTGATCTGTTTCGAAATGGGTCTATCTCATCCAAGCGAACGTTGTCAGTCCTCACAAACCTCGGGGCGCCACTAGGAGAGTTAAAGTTCTTCACGAAGGTTCTGTTTCTGTTAAAGGTCTTTAAAGAGCGATCCCTAATAGAATGATTAAAATTCATTCCTTTCACCTATATCAAGGTCGCATCATGTCTTGAAGAATTATTGCCATTCAGGTTTTCCTCAGTTCAGAAAATTCTCTCTTTGTAATTTTTATGTTAGCAGTGATTTTTGTATGGCCACTCCTAGCTATGCCAAGGGCATTTCGTAGAAACGCAGACATAATGACGGTCCAATAGACAAAGCACACCAGTTACTGAATTGTATGATAGAAGGTTTAGCGCTCGTTCCAAAAACTAGAAACGAAACTGGAATTTGTGGTAACCTCATACACACTCGTAATGCATTGACAACAAAGTCTATCCTCCTAATGCCATTTTACATATATCTGTATTATATATTTATTGAGAATTTGAAGAAAACACGACTGTATCAAGGCTTTTTGTAAAGACAGGCAGCGGAAATGAAGTCCTTGTTCCCCTTTCTGTCGATGAAGCCGTTGCATCCATAGATGGTTCCCTCGGGAAGACGTTCAAGCTTAACAAAACCCAATTGTCAACCGTCGATCAGACACTCAACATACATCGATTGAATTTCAGAGGAAGCGGTTTCTAATAAGATCAGAAGCTCCTAACCCACCGCTTTTTCTTTTTTGTCGAAGCGGGGCTCGAGGAATGCTAGCAGTTTCTGCCACAGTAATTGTGTATCATCCGCGGGGAAGGATCTGAAAGAGCAGGATATTTGAACAAAAAAATGAGATGCTGAATGAGTTGTTGTCAAAGTCTATGAACGAACTGTTTTCCTTTGATGACCAAGTCAGCCTTCACACTATCAGGCGACTTCAAATATTCCAGTGCCTTTTCAGCCCACTCATAGCTCCATTCCAGTAAACCAATAATTATAAACGATCCAAACTGCGAAGCTAATCCATTCAATAAAACTGACCAGATTGTCGCTGTACAGCATGTTGAGAGTCTCAAAAGTATCTTTTGACTCTTCCGGTAAAAGGTCAAGTGTAAACAAATAACTATCTCATTTATACTTTTAAGACGATCAGGGCTAAGAAGATGACCGATACGTGTCTTATGATGGGTGGCATTAATTTTAGAAGAACCCACCTTGGGCGACAACATTTTGTAGATCGAGAATCAGTAATAAGAAGAAAAAGAACGTTGTGAAAATGACGATTTCCGCTCTCCAATTCTTCCATTTATGGGACCGGTAAGGGTCGTTCGCCTGCTTTCACCAATAAATCCTAATATTTATATAACATCTGTCCGAAAAAGTCATTTACAGAGTCAGTGGATCTCTTCACGTTCACACATTGAGAGACCAACAAAAGAAACATACCACGTTGCTAGAAAGTTGCTAGTATTCCAAGTAGAGGTTCATCAAATCCCGGTCAAGTCTGAGGTATAAATGACCTCTTGGCAAAAACAGAGCAATTCTTAGCAAGAAATCTACTCCTAATACTTAGTGAGCTTAAACATGATTCCTATCATTAAGTCAGACAAAATATGGCTAAGTCAAAGCTTTCTGTACAGACAGGCGGCGGAATAACCTCCCTGTCTCCTTTTTTCTTGTTGATGACACCGTTGCATCCGTACGTAAATCGTGCCCGTGCGAAGGTGTTCGCAAAACAGAATAACCAGCCTTCGGCCAGAACCTCTCCACCTGGATTGTAAGGAAAATGATTCTCACAAGGTCAAGAGGCTTCCAACTGGCAAGTTTATTATTTCTGTCGAAGCAGGGTTAGAGAATGCGAGCAAATTTCGCCAGAGCAACTAGTTATCGTATTCTGAGAATGACCTAAAACAACAAGATGATTCAACAAACAAAAGGCATGTTGAATGTGTTCTTGAAAGGTCTACGTGCGATCTGCTTTCCTTTAATGACCATGTTAGCATTCAAACTATTCGACGACTTCAAATATCCCAGTGCCCTTTTTGCCCACCTCGTATCATACCTGTGAACCAATAACTATAATACAAACTAATTCAGGCTGCTTAGTTCAATCACTCGGTAAAACTGACCTTATTGCCCTGTAGTGCATATTAAGCGTCTTCAAAATGCCATTCAAACCTTCAGCTAGTGGAGCTTGAACCCCAAATATTAACATATCTAGAAGTTCAATTCCGCCTCAACGAATATATGCTAAGAACATGGTCGATAGTGATTAGTATTCGTTCCATAGTCTCGAGCTGTAACACATGCTTTGAAGGGAACCAATATTGGGAAATGAAACTGCTCTGCTCTGCTCTCTGCTTGAACGCCTACTCGGGGACTGAAGATGATTATCTACTGTGGATAGTATTTTATCTCTACACAATAGTGATCAGCTTGCGCTATGAAAATAGTGTTTCTGAGCACCGAACATTTTACCTCTTTTTACATTCTAGACATGCTTCAATTTAGACATTCGCCTTTTCCTATTATCTTATTGTAGATGTATCCAACAATATAGGGGATGATGAAGAGTGAGAACATCTTTTTGCAGCAGCTGAGCAAGGGAATGTCGAATGTTTTCTCGATTATCTAGCCAGCACACTGTGTAAACACGAAAACATCCGTTGACTCTGCAAATGAATTTTTTAAATAGATGCTACAAAAATATATGTATTTTGGGGAAAAAGCAGGCGAAGGTAGCCTTACCAGTACTATAAATGGAAGGGATGGATAGCGAAACTGTCGTCCAAAATGTTAGCATTTTTCTTAGTGCTTGTTGTTCTCGTTCTACATAATGTTGTCGCCCAAGGTGTGTTTTTTGAACTAATGTCAACCATAAATAGGCCATATCATGGCTATCTTCTTGGCTCTGATCGTCTTTAAGGTATAATTGAAGTAATTATTTGTTCTCAGGTGACCTTTTACCCGAAGAGTCGAAAGATACCTTTGAGACTCTCAACATGCTGTACAGCGACAATCTGGTCAGTTTCATTAGATGGATTAGCTTCGCAGTTTGGATCATTTATGATTATTGGTTTACAGGAGTGGAGGTATGAGTGGGCGGAAAAGGCACTGGAATATTTGAAGTCGCCTGATAGTGTGAAGGCTGAC